TTAGCACGCAAGTTGTAGCCTTTCAATAATAGTATGAACACTCAGTATACGGTCCATTTACCGTTTATTACAGCTATTCAAACTAATTTTTAAAGTATCTGTAAACAGATTGTGTTTACATCGTTTTAATACCATAAACTATATGAGATACCCCATAAATCGGTGATTCATAGACTGATCCTACGCTATCTTCAAATCTCTTTTCGTTTTACCAACGAATTTTGCGTGGACTAACTATTGTCCTTAAAGTTTTTGTAGCACTTCTCAACCATTGGAATGATATGGCACCCGCTCCTGGAAGCTCTAACAGATGCTCGCATAGACGTGAACAGTTGCACAAGGCTGTCGCATTTGTCTCGATTGTGTACTGCATGTTTCGATTTGGACTGAGGATAAACATAAGATTAGAAAGTAAATTCGTGAAAGGTTAGACAAAAGTAGAATAATTTTTACTATTCAATGAAAACATCACGTATCAATAGTATTTTAAAACTGATATATTATTTTGTTTACTCAAACATCCATTCAATATTAGCAGCGATCAAACTTGGCAATCAGATATGTTTAAGAAGCGCACTTTATAGCGTTGTATAACAATAAACGAATGCTCTCGAAGTAAAGCGAATACGGTTTACAATGGTTTGATGGTATCCCTACTTGTAAATTGTCTTTTGTGATATTGAGCATGATGATGTGAGTGTAAGTGTGAGTACTCGTAGATGTTGGTAGCTTTCCTTGACCCATACTCATCCGTGTTTCTGAGCGATATTGTATAAGAATTAAAATTGTGCTGTTTATGCAATTTGGTTGTATTTCGATGTTTTGTATTTTTTCGTTTTTCTTGTGATTTAGTTTGAAGTACTAAAACGTTGTTTGCTTGTGATTGTGAATCAACAGTGTAAATAAAATGCGCAGTGAGTTTTGCTAGAAACAAGCGTCGCTTGATTGAACTCGATTTCAAAGGAAGGAACAAGATTTTTATTACGTTTCGAATCTCTGTTAACTTGATGTAACTAAGTTGAGTAATGTGAAGGTATTCATCATGTACATTGGATGGCAGATTGAAGAGTTTTGATTTCAAAAAAGTGAATGCTTCGTATGAATGGACAAATGAATAAGTATGATCATCATCCATAGTGCATCTATCAGATAACTGTGGCTTGAACTTGGGATATCAGCATGCTGGTATTTTTCGGCCGGTGAATTATTATTCACATCTGATTCATAATCAGATAAGTGGGTAAAGATAAAGCATTCTTTAGATATGAGACGCATGGATTCATGGGCTGGAACGTGTCGTTTGCAAACCAATCCAAGAGCTCCCTTAAGTTGGTGAAGTCAATTAGAAAAATGGTGTTCCAGTTAATTCGTTGGTTTGTTGGCAACGTCTTAGCTATTGCCGCAATCGATCCGACTTGATTAAAATATTCTGCTTTTATTTTCTAGGTAAAATATGTATACGATCAGATTCTCTGACGGTAGCATCTGATCCTTGATGATATAGAATTCATCATTTTCACGGATGAAAATTTTGAAAATCCTCAATGGCTTTAGAAAACAGACGGTTTTTTGTCCGTTTTATCATCAGAAATATCATTTTTTTTTATTTCGGTTATTATTTCTCTGAGGGTAAAATTCTATTAAAATGGTGTCAAATACATTATTGTTTTGCATGTTGTTACTTCATGGGTGGGTTCGGATGCAAATTCCTCGAGTCGGTTCGGGTTCATATATGATCTCATACCCAAACTTGACCCGACAGGCAATTAATCATATGTTGACATTTCAAAATATTTTTATTTTTTTCAAACTGATAAGTCATATCAAAAGCATAGGAGTAAAAAATGGTTTGATTATTATTGAGTAATTTATTATACTTGAAAAGCGATATTATTTTACTAAAAGAATTCATTTACAAATGATGATGAATCATATCACGAAATAACTGGATACGTGGAGAGAAAACCAAGTTAACGAAAAAAGTTGAATATGTATTATTGTGACGGGAAAAGTCTTCCATGATGTTTGACATCAATACTGTTCCATTCCGTCGTCATCAGCAACAAGCAAACATATACTTAGCGGAATCAATTGAATTTTAGAAGCAGATACACATCAAATGAATCTTGAATCATTTGATTTTTTTGTGGAATTAGAGTTGATCTTTTCTTTTTGTTGATATTTCTACAATAATCGAAATAGTATACTTTTTCATATAAGCTAATAGTTTGAAAACCATACTGTGACTGTGAGAGTATCGACCGAATATTGATTATCTCTGACCTGGATCCGGTTGCAAATAGTCTTATCCGCAGAGCACATTACATCGAAAGCTTATACAATAAACATTCAATCATGTTCTCACATATAAATCAACTAACCAAATTATCCTAATTTGACAATTTATATTTGCACTCATCATCTATGTATCAGATTAAATAACTACATAGGAAGAAGATTCAGTTCTAATGAAGTAACCACGACATTATTCTGTTAATTTTAAAATAATATTTATGATATTTTTTTTCACAGCAAGCTTATCAACACTTAACTAGTAGTTGTTATCAATGATCATTAATCAACTGAGAAAACAATTGTTTCTTGTAGACGTTTGAAATTCATAGTATCGAAAATGCCCATACGATTTAAACTAGCCAAAAATCGCCAGCAAAACTTCAGTAGATTGTTCGGTATAATATATGCTATATTGGTATAAGTAGTTTGATACCGAAGCGGTACAGTATCTTCTGACAGTCATTCGACGGCCATGTATTAATAGCACTTCTCCTATGGGCAATCTACTGTCGGTATACCGTCGGTTCTAACAGGTACCATGACAAAGTAGTGATAGTGTGAACAAATGCACAGCATAGCAGGATAAGATCTTTAGTTTAACAAGTTGTATTAGTAATCGGTAGCTTTCGGGATTTTTCTATATACCACGTTATACATAATATCTTTCAATAGAAGGAATTAGGCTGAGTGTAAAAATTGATTCTTGAAAGTTATTGCATTCTTTTAATATAGTGAAAAATCAAGAAAAAAAAATCCCGCTAGTCTCTTCCCATGATGATCACAAATTTAACAAAGTTAGACAATTGTAATGCTTGTAATAACCTACTTGAGAAATAAGTCGAACTTTTTATTGAACTGCAGTTGCAAGATATGTTCACCTATACTTGAATTTTTAGAAGACTGTTTTCCATTAGCAAGAATTTTCTAGGAGTTAATTATTCGTTGAGCAACTTCAAAGAGGCACAGAAATTTATTATTCGTAGTTCACAGTGATAATTTTAGTTAATTATTATTAACATGCCTTCACTTAAATAAAACTCATTGCATTTTTCTATGGAAAAAGAACCAAAAACATTCTGATTTTAATCAGATTATTTTCGCAGCTACCATCAAGCGTGTTTTTCTTCAATTTTAACTTAGCAACACAAACATTTTAACTACTTGTTTCAATTTCTTGGCTCAACAAATTACAAATATCATATTAAACCAACCTTTGATACAATCTATACTTTGACATACGATATCAAATGATAGGTACTCTTGTAAACAAATAATACTGATAATTTCGATTAAAATCAGATTGTTTTTCTTGTATCCATAGGCCAATTATCCATTCACTCAGTCTTATGTATGAACAAGCAGTATCAGGCAACTAAGCAAATGCTTTGTTTTTTCCTTATTGTCTAAATGAAACTTACAAAAAAAAATGCATAGTGAACCTTCCTGATTACTACTTATTGCACAATGCGTAAATCTTCTTTCAGAAAAAATCAAGATTCAGATTGAACGACACAATGAAGACTCAAGCTCTCCTAGCTGGATTGCAGCATCGATCTAAGCAGCCAATTTCGAGGTGTGATGCAAACCATTTGATCAATATCGCTATTCTTTATGATTTGAATAGAACCAATTTTTGAACTCATTTTCTTTTAGTTTCGAAGTGTATAATTTGAACAATCTTCACTATTTTTTTAAGTATTATAAAAAATATATTCATAGTATGCGAGCACACAATGTTTTAGGGACTTTCACCATAAATTCTTTTCAAGTATACAAAAATTCATTGAATATTTAAGAGTATTGCCAAATAATTAATTGATTTTAGGCGAGCAAATCGTTTGAATCTCAACATTTAAAACAAAAGAAAAACTACGTAATTATTACGAATACAGTTTAAAACCTCCTTTAAAAACTGTCCCTCATCCTAAATTGTTGCTTTTTAAATAACATATTACTGGAATGTAGAAGACTCTGTAATTTAAATATAGTTCGGCAGATATTTAAATTGTTCATATTGAAGATTTACTTCTAGAGGAAATAAATGCAATAAGAACAAAAGAAAATTTTATTAAAATACGATTCGGTTTTCTTATGCCGTCTTTTGTAAATAATCACAACAAAAATCCTTGAATTTATTGAAATCAAACAGCATAATGATGAAGGTGTGAGTGAGAGCGAGGCTTCTATTCTACCCATATCCATACATACATAATTTTTCAAGGACTAAATGTCGGAGATATTTTTGAACGAAACTTTTAATCTGTTACCATTATTACAATCTTTTTTTTCTCGTGGATGAAAGAAATAATTTCGCTAATATTATTAATACATGCTTGTATTAACTTACTTATTTGATATAATATACGAAATATATTCCCATTAATCAATATTATTCATAGTTAATGTTTGAAAGTATTTCTTTCTTTTTTACTATATCAAAAATACAAATGTTTTAGGTAGCCATCGTATAATTTCATGTCATGTCAAATATGCTTTTGGCATCTTTCTACCTTGAAAACTAAACGAATGAATAAATCGTACTCTTGAATATCGAAAAGCAAACTAGAATCATTGTAATTCTTTTTTTCACTTCGAAAGTTTCTGTATGGATGTTTATTTAGGTGAATCAATGTTGTGTATATATATAAATAACGAAAAAAAAGTATTCATATTCACTTTCATATTGTAAGTATACGATTACAAATATGCAACTACGACAATTCTTCTTATTTGCTTTCACCTTCTGTGCTGTGATCATTGCAATTTCTGCTATTAATCGAGACTGTAAGCATATATAGAATTTCTTTGCTAAGAAATTCTTTTTAATTTGAAATTCAGTTGAAGACGATGATGATAGCGATGACGAATATCGGCAGCTTAAGCGTTTCCTATGGCATAAAAAAACGACAACAACTCATGCACCAGAAATCTGGACTCCAAAAACTACAGCTTCACCTTGGTATCCACCATCAGGAGCATGCTCGTCTAACCCTTGTGAACATAACGGTGTTTGTACTCCAAGAGGGGAAAGGATCTTTGATTGTAAATGCGTTGGTCCATGGCGAGGCATCTATTGTGGAACAGGTATATCAACAAATTATGTCAATTATATATCAAATTTTGCTTTTCAGCTGATGCATGTTATCGTTCTCCATGCCAAAATGGAGGTACATGTCTTAATGTAGTTGATGATTATTGGTGTAAATGTTCAACTGATTATTACGGTAAATAATAGATTGAGTTTCTGTTTTTTTTTGTATTTAATCTTTTGTCTGTTTGTTTTTTTTAGGAAAAAATTGTGAATCAAGTAAGTTGATGGTATAATATGATTCGATGTAATTATTTTTCATTTTTTAGGATTTTCTAATCCTGGTGACTTGGTAAATCAATGTCGACCAAATATTTGTAATACTGGTCGATGTGTTTCTTTGAAAACAACTTACTATTGTCAATGTCCTGATGATCGTTATGGTGAACATTGTGAAAAACGTTTCAGTATGTAAATTGAAAATATTTAAATAATATACATATATTTTTTCTTTGTATTAGGTTCTTATAAACGAACTTTTTCCGATCAAAAATCGTTTCACGAATTATTAGATCAAGCTAAACGAGTTTTGCGTGATCAAATTCTTACCGATGACGATGATAGTGATGAAACAACTTTTGATGGCGATAAAAAATAAGCTTTACTTTTGAATTCTTTTATTTGAAAATAAAAAAAAATCGTAACGTTCAAAAAATAAATAAAAGAAAAGAACATCTAAATTGAAAACATATATTGAATGTTTCATTGTGATAGGAAAACAGCAGACTTCAAGATTGAAGTCTCTATTGTTTTCTCCTCGCTTCATATGTTGATCGTAGTCATATGATTACTCATTAAACGGCGACATGGAAAATATCAAATTCAGTTTCTTTTCACTTAATATGACGATTCAATGAAAGAAATTGATTAATAAGCAATTGATAAATTTCATCTTCTCAAATCTGTATGATTGATTGTAATAACATTGAAGTTTTAATCTCAGTGGTATACAATAAAACACTTCAATTTTGTGTAGAAATTCAATCAAGGGGTAAAATTCAAGTTGAAGTATACGTTAGAATAGGGACCGTCACCTCCCCTCTACAGGCGTGACAGACATCATGTCATTATTATATATGAACTACTTTTTTATTGTATTTCTGGAGCATTAAGTAAAAGAATAATGAAGAAAATTGTTCTAACGTAGATAGAATAAAATAATCTCCAGCTAATTAACAAAATCAATGACATAATGTTTAACATTTTAATCTGACATAGATTGAATTAATCGTTTTTTTTTCATTTTTATTTATTTTCAAGAACCAATACTGCTTTTCTGGATACACGTAACAATAATGATGAACATATCAATGAATTAGATCTTAAATTTCATAAGAAAGGAAATCGTAGTGATACATGGGATGGTAAAAGTCTAAACCCGCATTCATCATTGTATTCTAGGTTTATTAAAGTGTGTAGTACTTCTCAAATTACACATGTAAAGTCCATATCTCGTGATACTTACTTATGCAAGTATATGAGGAAAAAAACCATCAAGTTCTATATTGAAATAGATTATGCTAGATTTCACGCTTATTAATAAGCTGCTGGTTTATAAATAAAAATTTGGTGCTTTTTTTTTATGATTATAAAAGAATTTAGCTCATGTGGTCACAATGCGGTTAAAATATACGATGTTTTTTGTTTTGGTAGATGACTTTTGAAGCATTCTGTATATAAATGCTGTTGGTTGTTTTTTTTTTCTTCTTTATTTACTGACATTTTGATAAAATCTCCACAATCATTTACAAGTAAAATAAAAGTGAATATGACTTTGAAGATGAACAATTTTTAGAGTTGTATGAAAATAATCATATTCAAAAGTAAGATTGATTCTAATTTTTTTATGTATATTGAATTTACATCATTGATCATCATAGTATTAATTTAAGAAGAACAAACTAAAAACAAGAACGTCACCTTCAATGAATTTCAATAGAAAAAGGAATAGATCTTCAACAAGGAAAGTATGATTTGATACAGTTTTCTGTATAAACTCTCGAATAAATCGTTTATATATATATATATTTATCATAAGAATATTTTTTAAATAGGTGAAATTTCTTTCCGTATATTTCCATATACATTTCATTCTGAACTAATTTAATTTTCTAAATCTCGAAGTAGCTGTTATGTAAATATTAATACTACATGAGGAGTCTCTGAAATATGAAAACCAACAGAAATTTCTCTCACAGGCACAGCTATGGTACTTCAAGCATTAAGTAAATATGTTTTTTTTATGCTGAGTAGGAAAAAAACCTCGAGAATGTATTGGCAGTTGATTATGGTTATTAACTATTTATTTTGACAACCGTAGGAGACGATGATTGTATCAATATATATATATATATATATATATTTCGTATTTGATGTTGACAATGGGTTTAATTTTAACGATAAACTATTGAATAGTTAATCATTGTGTACGTATGTTAATAAACGACATGATCAATGAAACAGAAAACATGTTTTGCAAGACATACGAATTCTAATAAGAAAAAAAGAAAATGTCAAATAAAGTCTTTTTTGTATGTAGTGAAGCATTTTGGATGCTGCTCTTGAATGACTCTTTTAGAAGAATAAGAATCTCAATTGAATTTTTTGTATTAATTTATTACCTTCTGTTGCTGTCTGAATTTTAAATTTCTATCCATCATTTTCTTAGTTTCAACACTTTATTAAAGTATCAAATTAATGTCTTGCAGCTTGTCTAGAAGCATGGATCTGAGTGCAAAGTCATCCAGTTGGTTCGAGTCCGCATATGATCCTATATCCGAATCCGATCCAGCAATTAATGTCATGTTGGTATTACAAAATATTTTTACTTTTTCAAACTACTAATTCATTTCGAAAGTGTAGGAATGAAAACTGGTTATAGAAATGGAAAGTGATATTATTTTACTAGAAGAATTTTCTCAGACAAGATTACTAGGTATTATGATGATGAAAAAAGTTTTCATATATGTATACATAATTATGATGTTTTGCGCCAATACTACGTTCTATACCAGTGTCTTCAGTAACAAGCAAATGTATACTTAGCAAAATTGATCGAATATTAGAAGCAGACAGACATCAAATGAATATTGAATCACTTGATTTTTTTATGAAATTAGAGTTGATCTCTTCTTTTTGTTGATGCTTATTAGTGAAACTAAATAGTATACTTTTTCATATGAGCTAAAAGTTTGAAAACTGTACTGTGATCGTAAAAGTATTTGCCTAGTTTAACAAGTTATATTAATAATCATCAGCTTTCAGAATTTTTCAATAAACCTCTTTATACATCATATCTTCAAATAGGAGGAATTAAGATGAGGATGACGATGAAAATGACACTTACGATAGAGAATCGACTGAGCATGAGGATTGACTCTTTGGAATTGTCGCTTTCTTGTAGTACAGTTAAAATGTGTTATATATATCAATAGATTAATTTCATGGTGTAAACCCAATACATTTCAGAAAACTGCCGGTATTCCATCAGAAATATGTATTGTTCATGTTCGCTTTTTGTGTGCAAAGCAACTTTCGAGATCGAGTTACTTTTCGATGGTGTATAACTCCAATTGGATCGAAATAGCACTGACTATAAGTCTTATTTTTTTAGTAGAACTCAACAATCATGTCGGCAATTTACTAGAAAATTGTGAAAAGTTTATTATCATGACCATCACGAGTTTAATAAAGTCAAACAATTCTAATACTTGCAAAAACCAAGACGAATAGTTCATAGAATTGAAATTACAAGATACTTTCATCTGTACTCGAGTTTCATGAAGACTATCTTCTATTAATAGAGACCTTCTAAGAGTTAATTATTCGTTGAACAACTTCAAAGAGTCACAGAAATTTATTATTCGCAACTCACACTAATGATTTAGTCTATTATTAATTACGCTTCACTTGAATAATACTCCTATCATTTACCCATGAAAAAAGGAACGAAAAAGTCTAATTTTAATCAGATTATTTTGTTGTTAATCACAACGGCTGTAAAATGTACTTTTCTTCAATTTTAATTTAGGAACACAAACTTTTTTAACTACCTTCTTAAGTTTCTCAACTTTTAACACACAATCTATACTTCGATATGCGATGTCGAATGATACGCACTGCTGTAAAAAAAAAAAAAAGTCTTAATAAATTAGATGAAAATCGATAGAAATCAGATTGTTTTCCAATTTTTCTACATGCATAGCCCAATTGTTACTTAACCAGTCTCATGTAAGGACAAGGATTATCATCCAACTAAACAAATCATTTTTGTTTTTATTTATTGTCTAAATGAAACTTACAAAAAATTCTCGCATAGTGAACCTTCTCGGTTGCTACCAACCGCAAGATCCAGATCGGGTGATGCGACAAAAGTTTAAGCCCACCCAGTTGGATCGCGACATCGGTCTAGAAGGCGAATTTCGAGACGTCAAACAAAGTATCTGATCAACATCTCTATCTTATGAATTGAATAGAACCAGTTTTTTTACTCATTTTCTTTTAGTTTTAAATTGTATAATTTGAACAATCATCGCTGTTTTTCAAATACTATATAAAATATATTACACAGTATACAAACAAATAATGTTTCGGTGATTGCCAAAATAATCTCGATGTTATTCTTGATGAATCTAATTGTTTTGCTAATATTATAATTACATGTTTATACTAACCTACTTCTTCGATTTAATATGTGAAATATTAATCCTTATACTCAATATTATTCATAGTTAATGTTTAAGATCATTTCTTTCTTTTCTTTTTTTCTGTGTCAAGAGTATAAATGCTTGAAATCGTGGTCCTGCGATTTAATGTCATGTTAAATATGCTTTTGGCATCTTTCTACCTTGACAAAATAAGTGAATGAATAAGCCGTATTCTTTAATATCGAAAACAAAACTAGAACTTTTGTAATTCTTTTTTTCCACTTCGAAGGTTTCTTTATGTATGTTTATTTAAGTGAATCAATGTTGTGTATATATATAAATAACGAAAAAGTATTCATATTCACTTTCATATTGCAAGTGTAAGTTTTCATATATGGATTTCCGTCAATTCTTCTTATTTGGGCTCATCTTATGCATTTTGATCATTGAAATTTCTGCTGTTGATCGAGACTGTAAGTATATATCGAAATTCTATAGTAAGATTTGTTTTTAATTTTAAATTTAGTTACAAATGACGATGAAGATGCTCCATCAGCAGTCTTGACACAAAGAAGTATGAACTCACGTTATTATTCAGGAGCATGTGCGTCTAACCCTTGTGAACATAACGGTGTTTGTACTCCAAGAGGGGAAAGAATCTTTGATTGTAAATGCGTTGGTCCATGGCGAGGCATCTATTGTGGAATAGGTATGTCAACAAATTATGTCAATTATATATCAAATTTTGCTTTTCAGCTGATGCATGTTATCGTTCTCCATGCCAACATGGAGGTACATGTCTTAATGTAGTTGATGATTATTGGTGTAAATGTTCAACGGATTATTACGGTAAATGATAGATTGAGTTTCTGTTTTTTTTGTATTTAATCTTTTTGTCTGTTTGTTTTTTTTAGGAAAAAATTGTGAATCAAGTAAGTTGATGGTATAATATGATTCGATGTGATTATTTTTCATTTTTTAGGATTTTCTAATCCTGGTGACTTGGTAAATCAATGTCGACCAAATATTTGTAATACTGGTCGATGTGTTTCTTTGAAAACAACTTACTATTGTCAATGTCCTGATGATCGTTATGGTGAACATTGTGAAAAACGTTTGAGTATGTAAATTGAAAATATTTAAATGATATACATACATATATATTTTTTCTTGTTAGGTTATTATAAACGAAGTTTTTCGGGTCAAAAACCGTTTTACGAATTATTAGATCAAGCTAAACGAGATATGCGTGATCAAATTCTTACTGATGATGATGATAATGATGAAAAAAAATAGACTTAACTGTGACATCACTCACAGATTTTTCCTCTCTAATAACTCTTCATTCTGTTTTCCCTATCATTATTCTCTTCTTCTCTTTTCTTTTCTCATATTTACATATATAAATGTGTGTTGTGTGTTTATGATAACAATACGATTGATTATGCGAGGTAGCTGAATAATACATAATTCCATTTGCGCTAGTACTTCTTCTATCAATAATCGTCACATTTACTATTCATTTCTTTTTATTTGAAAACGTAAACATTTCGTAGATTTTAAAAATAAATATCAGAAAAGAATATCTGAACTGGAAAGACATATATATATATAGAGAGAGAGAATATATCATAAGTCAGCCGTGAAACAAAGCTGCAATAATTCTTCAACAATTCACATGACTCTTTTCTCATATCATAGAATATTCTCAAAGGTTTTATTTCATATGATTTCACCTATAACTATTGTTTCACATGATTGACAAGTGATCGCAGTGATTTCGAAACAAGTTTTATGCATGAGTTGTTTACATATGATTTGAAACATATAGTTTCATTGCTTAGAATAGATGTTGTTCATTTGAAATGATAAGTACAAGTAAAGTCATATGAAAGAAAACTTCCTGAGAATATCCTATGATATGATGAAAAGCTCATGTGAGTCGCTTGAATCGTTACAGACCTATTGCAGTTTTATTTTCGCAGCTGACTTTTAGGACACCCTGTATAAAGCTTCATTATTGATTTTTACTTAATTCGAAGTTCCAACCGACGAACGAAAGATTGATTCATAAGCAATTTTTACATTTCATCTGATCGGATTTGCATGATTAACAACAATAGCAACAGCTAGCGATCTGCGTCTCTTGGCAATCATAAGAGAAGAACTTCGGTCGTTTTTCTGTGCAATACTATAAAATACAAAATTATTTTAAAATCATTACTCTTTGCAAAACATGTATGAAAACTGTATTCCACTTTAATGTTGAACAAACGCAATCGCTTAGGTATTCAGTCAAATTCTATGGAATTTCATTGTTTTTTAGGACATTTTCTTGAAACAGAACACTGTTTTCATGCATGCTTTTTATTGTTTATGGAAAGACAATGGGTTTTTAAATGATTTTGTAGTATTGCACAGAAAGACAATCGAAGTTCTGCTTGGTTGATTGCTGAATACTACAGGCCTCTAACTGTTGCTTTTGGGGTCAGTTATTGAGATTAAAACTACTTCTCTTTAATTCTGGCATGAACATTAGTATACAATGAGCTACTAAAGTTCCTTTTAGAAATCCAATTGAGAAAATGTTCTCCTTACAACTACCACAATGACCGTGTAACGACGTTGTTTGACATGTATTCACGAAGTACTATGTTCAAAGTTCAGTACCACCAACCATAGAATGATTCTGTAAGGAATCACGCGTCCGATAGCATGCTGACTATGTTGTGACATACATCTGCTCTTCTGGTTAGTTTGTGTATATGTGGAATTCAAGCAACTGAGCGCAAGAACTCTTCATTGGGCTAGTCTTCCGTTCAGAATTATAGCCAGCCTTAGTTGTAGAAAATATATCGGATTACTGAATCTGTCACTTGACACCACCTTATACAGCAAAGTAGCCGAAAGACCGGAGTATTTTTCTTTTTTAGCCCAGTTGAAGAGCACAGACATTTACAAATGTGTAACGTCTATCTTTAAAGTAGAGTCTAGTGGGACTGAACTTTTTGATTCTGAGAAATTCCAAATTTTTTTTTGCCAATTCACATATATAAGGATATACCGAAACTTTTCAGACAAAATATTGGACTATTTTTCATGTATTCAAATGTACTTACCTTCAGAAATTTTTTCTTTGAATTCCATCAAGATTTACTTATAGTTTAATAGTCAAAAGCCAGAGAAAAACTCTAAGCATATATTCTGAAAGAGCATGAAATTCTGATTATATTATTCTACTTCTCACTCTTTTACAATGTATTTAAATACGCAAAAAATAGTCAACTATTTTATTGAGAAATTTTTGGCCCACTCCTTACGTCTTTTTCTGTTGCTTATTAATGAGAATGTCTTTCTGATACTATTTTCTTGAAATTTATTTATCCATCTATAAAGTAAAGCTCGCGACACTTTATCATATTTTTCGATAGTCTCTCCAACAATTCTTAGGTTCAATTCAATTTTATCTAATACATCAGTATTAAACAAGTTTATTTCACTTATTACACACGCGTAGAATGAGAAAGAAATAGGCAATATTCTATGAACAAAAGCGGAGACAATAGTTGATAAAAAAAGTGTACTTACAACAATACACGATGTAAGGATGAAGGCAGATGCTAGTGAAGTGAACATCTTCAGATTCCACATCCACACCCACCCGAATATTATGTTTAGATGAGAATGTGTCAACATCAATAAAAAAAGAAGAGATCGTTTTTTTTTTCTTAACAAATTCATAATTGTCTCTGTCATAAACTGTATATATTGGAAGCCGAGCAACGATACAAAATTTTTGTTTTCACCAATTGATAGCTTAGAAAATTCCTTGCATTTAATCTATAAGCTAGTTTCTTAGTATTTTTTGTTCGGCATTAATTTTAAATATTTCTAAAAATGACAATTCCAGTTGCAAATGGGAGGTAAAATGGTTAAAAATAATCAACAGTTAAGTGCAAATATAGTGTTATGTTTGGGTGTGTGTTTAGAATTTTATCTGTAAATTCTTTTGTAAAAAGAAATACGTTCTTAAGTTCAGAACGAATGCGTCATAGAAGAGATGTTAGTATATTTACCTAAATATATGTTTCTTGCAATTATAAATGCGCTGTTTTATAATAAAACAGTGTTTTCTGAATTTCTAGAAGAAAGTTTTTAATTAATACATAACTGGATTTAATTGAATGTATTCTTATTTTAGAAAGATCTCTTCATGCATCATCAATGCAAATGTGTACGGCATCAAATTGACTGTAGAGATCATGGAAACATTTTTTTTCGTATAGAGAACCTCAAGAATTTTTTTCAAAACTATACTATAAAAGAGTATTGAAGTGATTCCACAATACATTTTCAATAAAAAATTACATTTTTCAATAGCTTGTTGTTTCCGATTGACTGTTTTGCAAGATTTTTTAGTTCGAAATTGATATGTCGCTGTGATGACGAAAGTAAAATATTGTCCATATTGAAGTTAGATATTATTATGAATATAAATAGAAAAAAAGAATAAATTTGTTATTATGTAAGAATAAAAATAATTGACTGTTTGTAACTCTGACTTCATTGGAATCAAATTTCGGAGTTCGATGCATGACTTTAGTTTAACGTAGAGTTGAACTTTCAATATTTATTAAGAATTTTATTATATCTGAAAATTTCTTCATAGTGCATATTTTTTTGATGACCCATGTTATTGAGTTCAGAATTTTTTATTCGCTAGGATGGATTGCTTCATTAACTATATATAAACTACGTGTATATACATATCTGTACAACACATATTTTTGTATAGATCAATATCCATTCGATAAAAAGCAAAATTAGACTCATCATTGGTTTTTATTTACCTTCATGATTAGTGCGTATGCATAAATACAGTTTTCTTGCATCATCGTGATACAAGTCATTATATCTAATAAATACTCAGTGACTCGTGTATATTGTATCATTCATATTCGAATATTACGCTTTTAACATGCCCGATCAAGAAGAAATGGATTCGTTTATCCTCAGTACTCTAAAATGTCCTATAACACTTGAATTATTTGTTGATCCAGTTGTTGCCAATGATGGTCATACTTATGAACGATCAGCGATTATTAAATGGGTAAAAAATCATAGTAGAACAAGTCCAATAACTCGTCAAACAATTAATATAGATCAGTTAAAACCTAATCGAGTTGTAAAACAATTAGTTGATCAATATCGTACTATATCAACACCACAAATAGGAAAAGCATTAATTCTATTTTCTGGTAATGGAACGTTATTAAATACAGAACAACAAATACTTATCAAAAGATTATTTCAAAATGAAAAAAAATTTTTATTAATATACAAAGCAAATGTCAATGGTTTTGATTCGGATGATTTTCATCGTTATTGCGATAATCGTGGTGTTACACTTACTTTAATTCAAATACATAATCGTTTACGTATAAAAAAACGTGCTTCAATCTTTGGTGGTTATACAACAATACCATGGTCTTCTCAATCTGGTTTTTATCGTGATCCACAAGCTTTTTTATTTCTTCTTAATCAAGAACGTATTACTCGTTTTAATTTACGATCACAAGATGAAACAGCTGTCTCACATTATGCTTCAGCAGGACCCGTTTTTGGTTTAGATGATATTTATATTTGTGATCGACCTAATGAAAATAATTTTAGTTATTCAAAATTTCCACATTCTTATGAAGATCTTAATAAAAATGGAAAAGGACAAAAAACATTTTCAAAATCAAAATATTTCTTAGTTGATGAAATTGAAGTTTATATGGTTAATATGTAATACGAAATAGTGTGCAGATAAAAACTTGTAAACTTGTTTTTGTATTTTTGTACAAAATATTTGAATTTAATAATAAAAATAATCTGTTCAAATAAACTGTGAGTATTTCTTTGATTGTTTGTAAGTTTAAAAAAAAATAGGTTAAAGAATAATATGTTGTATTAAGATCATACGTCTTTAGAAAAAACAACCTAGTTGCACACTATATTTTAAAATCAATACGATAGAAACTAGTAGTACTTCTGTAATCGTTGTAATATCATTCATTCAACATTCAAGCTAGTATAAATTCCACTAGTTACGCAGCAGCTTCTTCTTGAAACACGTAATGTTATAAGTCTTAGATATATTGATAAAATAAAAAAAAATAATATTTTTTTTAGCCTTGTATTATTATACAACGCAATATATATACAAGGTCGATCAAAAATAGCACTACTACGATTAAAAAATTGAAGTATCTGCACTTCTATTCATTCGAATGAGCTGATTTTTTTGCTCATGAGATATAAAATGTTCTACATGAGTACAACTTTTCGCGACCAGATACGGATCGGAGATAATCGACATTCTTCAGATACTTTCAGATTTTAAATGAAAAAGTATACTATCAAGTTTCTTTTATAAACATCAACAACAAGAAGAAATTCTCTTAAAATTCTACAAAAAATCAAATGATTCACGATTCATTTAATGTCTTTCTGCTCCAAAAATTCCATCCGTTTCTTTATGTATACGTTCGTATATTACTGATGATACTGAAGTGGAACAAAATGTCGATGCAAAACATCATACTTGTGGATGCATACATAAATACTGTTTCCGTCACGATATTAGATGTTCACTTTTTTTTCATTAAATTCTTTTAGTAAAATAATATGATCTTCCAAATTCTATGGCCTACTAGTAAGCATTATAAATTGCTCAATTATGATCGAAACTGTTTTCACTTTTATGCTTTTATATAAATTAACAGTTTGAAAAAATAAAAACATATTGAAATGTTGAGATCTTATTAATTTCTATGTCGGAAATTCGAATATATTATTTAGTTGTACCAGAAGATTACATTAAAAAATCAATACGAAAGGGTAACATCAAACAAGAAAATACAAAAAAAGAATTATAGAGACAGTAAACATCCGAAATAATTTAACTGATCAGCAGCGTCTATGTTTCCAATTAAATCTGTTAGTTGTTTTGTTGAAAAACTCACTGTTTACTCTAATGGTTGAATGTTCGACATACACTCTCAAATCGTATATAGAGAAATGAATTGATCAATTCCGGCAATACTGAAATCATTGTTTGAATTAATATTATTGTGCATCATCCATTCAAAAACTTATGATAGGAACTATTCGATGACCATCTGTCCTCGAAAAAAAAAATATGTGTAGTGCATCAAGTTAATTTTCAGTTATCATCTATAAAAATAATAAGAAGAAATCGAAACACTTTATGAATTTCAACATTTAAATTAACTAATTCTGCAAAACTTACTTTTATATACATCATGGTAATAGCATACATAAAATTTGTTTTGCTTACTTTATTTTATTCTCTTGAAAATTATTTTCGATTACTATGTTTCTTTCTAACTTAAAGAAAGATCAAATTTCTTTCGTATAGTCAATAATAGTGATATTTGTTTACATTATTCGTATATAATTTTTTTTAAATTTCAAGAAACTTCTATCGTACTAAGCAAAATAGTAGCTTCTTTGAATGAACCAAAGCAAAGATATTTTAATATTTTATCGTGGTGGTATTTATGACTCACTTTTATATAAATATTATTTTGTGTGAATCAAAAAAGAGACGTAGTGTAACATTTGATTACCTTTTCAAGTAAAGACAAATAATAGTTATATCTTTACACGTTTATTTTATCTTTTCTCCATTTATGTTTGATTCGTATCATCAAAGGTATATGTGAATATTTACATTCATTTCTCTTAGAGTACGAAGAAATCGACGAAGTAATGACAGATAAAGTTGCTTTTACAATGAAACTTAAACCAAACGTAATTAATGAATATAAACGACGACATGATGAAATCTGGCCTGAACTTGTAGCATTACTTCATGAACATGGTATATCGGATTATTCAATTTTTCTCGATGAACAATCATTAACATTATTTGCTGTTCAAAAAGTTTCGTCAAATACAATTTCATCTAATATTAAATTACGTGAGAATGAAATCATGCAACGTTGGTGGAAACATATGGCTGATCTTATGGAAACTAACGATGATCAATCACCAGTTACTCATCCACTTAAGCTGATTTTTCATATGAATTAATTGATTCTTTCATTTGTTTTTGTTTTTTTGTCATACACAAAGACCTAATAGAATAAATGACGAGTGTCGCTAGATTCAAAATACTCTTTTTATATCATTATTGGTTATCATTTTATACCAATGATTAAGCAACACTTTGTTTGTCCTTTTTATATCAGATCGTCATTTGTCTATATCGTAGTGCTTTATGATATAAAGAAATAGATACTTCTTGTTGTGGATAGATATGTTAGAAGCAGACAAAAACTATCAATAATCATTTTATTAAAATACCTTATACAATCTAATCTGTTGATATGTGAAGAAAGCTTTTTATGTTATAGATTGTCATCATTACTTATATAAATACGACAAAAAAAATGGGTCGACGTGTTAGTGATGATAAAGATGACAAAACATCTGAAAAACAAGCCACGAATGAGTCTGATTCAGATTCTGATTCCAATCTTGATGAACAAGAATTTGTTGTTGAAAAAATTCTTAAAATGCGTACAACAAAAAAAGGAAAAGTTCAATGTAAGCTATAATTGAAATTTTAATTATGAAAAATTTTTATTTTCTTTTCCTTTGAAGATTTACTGAAATGGAAAGGTTTTCCTGACAGTGAAAATACATGGGTAAGATAACAAAGGAAAATAATTCAATACAAATTCTTTTGTTGTTTTTTCTTCTATAGGAGCCTGCTGAAAATCTTGAATGTCCAGATTTAATTGCTGCTTTTATGGCTGAACAAAAAGAAAAACAACAAACATCAACACCAAATGGTAAACGATCTCATTCAAGTACTACTAGTACCAATGAAGTTAATAATAATACTTCACCAACAAAACGACCACGCATTGAATTAGAACAAACAGGATATCATCGTGGTTTAGTACCAGAAATGTTAATGGGTGCAACAGATATTTATGATGGGGAATTAATGTTTTTGTAAGTATTAGTTTTTTTTTGGTTTAGTTTTATTATTTATTTTGTTTTTAAAGAGTTAAATGGAAAGGCATTGTAAAGCCAGAACTTGTTCCATCACGTATTGTGAATAAACAATCAGCACAACTTGTTATTAAATTTTATGAAGATCGTTTAACTTGGAATTCAACGAATGCATCAAATAATACGAATAAAAAAGTTTAAAACTAAATAAAACACTATTGATTTGTTTTCTATTTGTTTATATGAACTCGGTTTTCTCTCAGCGTTTAATCGCCTAATAACACAATGCTTTGTTTTTTTCTCTGTTTTGTTTTCTTCATGTTATTGTTTGTCTGTGTATTGTGATCGGATTCTGTTGTATATTTTGGAAAATATAGGCCCTAAAAAACTATCCTAACACAAAGTATTAGTGTTCGTTTGTTCTCGAACTTGTTGTATTTTGTTTCTGTATGATATTAGATACGCTGTGAAATAAAAACGCTTTTATCTACTAGAATTTTATGTATTTAATAGTCAGATTTGGTGAGGGTAAGCGCTCTCTTGTGGATCAATGGTGATTCTGCTCGAGAGTAAGATCAGTGGCATTCAAATTTTTACAACAGGTATATTGTCGAAAATAATGGAATCTAACTTCGACGAAAAAAAAATTTTAAAAGACAATATTCAAGAAGTTTTGAAGAGATCTTGTTTTGTTCGATCGGAGTAGAGTCCGTCGAGCTCGACTCCGAAAATGTTCGGTCTGATGGATTCTAGGCCACGGCTATAAGCAGGTCCGATAGTTTTTAAAGTCTTTTCAAAAACTCCTGAAGATCTGTTTTTTAAATTTTTACCTCGAACATGAACCCATTATATTTGATAATCTAGCTGTAGTAAAAGTTATTGTCTGAAAAGATATATTCTCGTGGAAAAGCCAAAGAGAATCAGGTATGCTCAAGAGAAACGACTCAATTGAATAATTTGTTTTGGTGTAAATACACGCATACAAAGTAGATTATATTGTAATAAATGCAGCAGAATAGAGGTATTTTCTCAATATCTTTGTGATATATTATTTTTTCGAACTAAACTTGTTTCCAAAAGATGCAGCATGAAATTGTCTACAACAATATAGGAAAGCATGGGTTGAAAAAATAAAATAAAAAAAAAAGAACAAGCATTAATAAAAACATTTATCTCTCTCTAAAATGCGTTAGAAAGAAAAGTACATTTTGATAATCAATCAATCATACATTAAAACATGGGCGTATTTATTCACGTTAGTTTAAAATTAAGATATTTTGCACTTATAACCTTCGTACGCCATAGCTGAATTTTTTTTCTCTTCGTTTTCAGTCAAACACATGACAAAATATAGCTGATGACCTTGATTAAGAATATCATTTTATTATTTCTTTCTTTATCAGTTCGATGAGTGAAGAAAACAAATTTTCTAGAATTTAAACATGCTGTTCTTTGTTTTTGAATGAGAACACTGACTATGTATAATGTTCTAAACATTTGAAAACATATTTCAATATGTGAAGCAACTTATAAAATTGAATTACAAATGAAAATGCTCACCAATTATTGTGTGTGGCTTTCTTTTAAAATTATATCACTGTAGCATTTCATCTAGTTACCTTCTAAAAAGTGACATACATAAATCTAGTTTTTCATACTGTATTCAAATATGTCCTTGAAGAAGGCAAAAAATGTGTTCTTTTGAAGTAATATTAGAATTTAGTAGTGAAGAGTCATGTTTTCTAGACCATCTCTTCATAGTTCTCACACTCTGTGCGTTGTTCTACATGCTCAACTGAAACAATTCGTATTTCACTAAATAGATGACATTCGATTAGCTAAATTAAATATTTTTTCAAAGACTTACAGCACTGTATTGGAGCGAGAATGACTTAAATATACAAACAGAGACAGTTCCTACGGTGAAAATGTCGCATATTTCATCTCATCACTTGTTAAAATATTTTAGATAAAAACTGAGGAGATATGATCAATTTCATGAACTCTATATTATAGCATGTGTTGGATTCAAAATCAAGGAAAACAGTTTTCCAGAACATTGAGAGCTGTAGAATAATGTAGCTGTGAAAAATCTCGACAACAAGTAAAAAGGATATATACATATATCTAAGATATAATTCATGATTGATTTACGATTGTAATGTAGTTTCTTTTTCGAAAAATAAAACTGTGATGATGAAAATGATATAATCATTTTTACTGTTTTTTCCGAAATTATGAATTGTTATAGGAAAAGAACTTTTGATGGCTTCTTACCAATCTACATAAAATCTTTAATATTTAATATAGATAGTCAAGTGTTCTCTATGTATTGCAACGTTAATTGTGTCAGTTAAATATAAAAGACAACGCACAACAAATCAGCACTATGAAAAAATGATCTGAAAAACAACATCACTTTTTACTACTAAATTGTAAGTTTGCCCTAGAAGAACAGTTTTTTTCCTCCATCAAGGACATTTTTGAATAAAATATGAAAAATTGAATCTGCGTGTATCACTCTCTAGAGGATAATCAGGTGAAATGGTAAAGTAATAAAACTTGTAAAGAAACCGCACAAATCAATTCACCAGAAATTTCGTTCTTAATTCAATTTTAGGAGCTGTTTAACAAATTGAAATGTTTTCATTTCTGCATCATTTCATAAAAAATACTTGAATATTCCATTGAAATTCGCTTTCAAATGTTTAGAACATTATACAAGAATGGTACCCATTCAAAAATAAAGGACCGTATACCTAATTTGTTGGAAACTTGTTTTTTTTCCATTCATTCAGATGATTAAGAAAAAATTAAGATAATATTCGTAATCGATACAGTCGGCTCTGTATTTTGTCATGTGTTTAATTCAAATCTCACTGATACACAATTAGATTAAGACAATCATCAATGCAGACGTTGATAGTTATAAATAAAGTTACATCATGTATTCGGAACGTTATAAAAAGTGTCCTTCTCTATTGAATTGAATTTTAATATATATTTTTAGTTTCATTTTTATATGTCACGAAACAAAAAAATCATATTAACTCCGCATACATGTTTAGAATCCTTTTTTAATTTTCGTAGTTTGTTATTAATTTTCTGATTGTAGCTCTCAGATCTTATTTGTGAGATTTTATAATTGTTCGTACATTTAATACTGCTGCTCTTTCTTAAAAGATCTAACAAATTTGTTTATAGTGACGCATCCAGCATTTCAGTGTCAGAATGGGTTGTATCCATCTGAGTCTCCACGGCTACCTCTGCGACCATATGTTTAACTTATATCTACATTATGTATCAGTATAATAATATTTTTTAATGATTGTTACTTGCTTTAATACAGTTTTGCTAGATGTCGACTCTCTTACGTTTATACTCTTAAGACTATTGTCTTTAGTAAAAGTTCGTACGAGATTTTAATATATGTTCATATATAGCTGTTTGCAAAAACATTTGCACATCTTGTGTTTTGGATGTTTTTTTTATGTGTGTCTCCTTGATTGCTTTAATCTCTCAAATAATAGATCACAAAAAGTACTACATTGTACCATCATTTTAAATTTATAATATTAACATTTTAAAACACTTTCAACAAAAACTATTTGAGTATTTTAATGTTTTCTCATTTCCTGCTTTCAATTTTATGTTTTATCCCTGACTGAAAAAAGTCAGGAATAGATAATTGCAGAACATCATGTCTTTTTACATTGCCTATATGTTTTTTATTTGTTTCTTTGAATAATTTCTGATTCTCATACTCAACTAAATGTACTTATTTTAATTTGTTGATATTATGCATCGAATTTTTTCATGAGAATCTTTGTTTCACTTTTCACAATGCTAATTGATCTCACAGCTTTATAACGTAATATGGATAGATAACTGTTAGTTAATAAAGAACAAGGTTGATATATCTTGAATTTTATGTATCCAAAACAGAAACAATCGCATTTTCATTAGGTAATTTCTTTGTCCAGCTGACGAAATACAATCACGGAAAAAATGAAGCTAATAATTATTTCATAAAATGCGAAAATATTTAAGAAAAAAATACGTACATTTGT